GGGGGGGGGGGGGGGGGGGGGGGGGGGGGGGGGGGGGGGGGGGCTGGTGGACCGTAAGGCTCCCGACGCTCACGGACAAACCTCATCTCCTCCCGTTCCCACTACGCACGTCCCCCCGCCCCTCTTCCGCTGGTAACGCTGCGTAGCTCCGCTGCCACCGAGTGCAAGCGGAAGAACATGTCGCCTACTCATGAATAAGCAGCAACGCCATTGATGAATAGTGTAGGTGTGACAGGGTCCTGGTGATAACGGACGTGTCCCGCCGCTCCTGACCTGAGGAAAGTTGGCAAACTTTGTCGAGCGAGGCAGACCGAGGCAGCCGTCGCGGTTGCTTCCCCATGTGTAGAGCTCCCCGTCCATCGTGCAGCAACAGCTGTGCCCGTACCCGGCAGACACCTACCGTTTCAAGGACGCGTTGTGAAACGAGTAGTCTACCCGGTTGTCGGCGTTCACAGAAATGGGTAATGCAAGACGAAAAACATCGTGCTAACAACGAAAATGGAAAGGAAAACACGAGCCGGAGGAAATAGCCGACCGCCTGTTCAAGTGTGGTACACCATGCAACCCTGCCGCAAACAGTCATCGCACGAGCCCACAAGATCGCATGTAAGGTGCCAAAAAACTGCTGTCGCTGGCGGCTACTGACATAGCCACACATCTACAAGTGCTGGACGTGCGTGCTCCTGCTGACTCTACTCCGTATGTACTTGCCTGCCTACCTGCCTACCCCACGTAGTAGTATGAGTAATACCATGCCATGAGGAATTGCCGCTGAGAAGCTGTAATCACCTGCTTGACCATGACTTCATCCAGGCCCATGACGGGCTTGAAGGCTGGACAGAAGGTTCCGAGAACGTTTGTGGAGCCGGCTTGATACACCCGCCCTCCCCTTAGAGCCTTCGCCCGGCCCTCACCTTCGCCCTCGTGTGCCTCTCGGACCGCCGTCACCGCCTAGATGGGAAGGGGGCACAGGTGTGATTAGTGGGGTGCACACTCACTACCACCTGGGCAAGGGGGGGGGCTGGAGGGGAAGCAGGCGTGCTCATGCTTTGCTGCTTGGTTTATTTAGGTTGTTTTGAACACATTCCTTGGAGTGGATACGCTCGAGTTTCGGCGGAGGGCAGGCGGGGGGAGGGCTCTCTCTACCGTCCTCTTTCGGTCAATTAAATACTTGGTTTGCCCCCCAACACTCTGTGTTACTTGTCGTGTATCCCCATGTTTCGGTCATTCACCCTCCCGCTCTTTATTTCTCGCTTGTACTCTGTGCCGGCCTTACGGACACCTACCGTAAGAGTGTGAGCCATCGTACACCCACTCGATAGACCAACCTTCACAGCACGTTTGCTCTACGGCCAAGAGGCTACCGATGCTGAAAAAGGATGGTTTTGGAACGATGTGTGCGACCGTTTCACTTGCACGTATCGATCGGTTTTCTCCCCCTTTTGGTTGCAAAGTAATCGAGCTTCGAAATATAGCCCAAGGGGCGTTCGATCACTTGCACTTCTTTACGGCACACACAGCACACCGATCACACAAGCAACCACCACATGTTTGTTTTTATTAGTTTCGTTCTGACCAGAGTGTGCGAGTTCCCGCAGCTAACCGCCCCGATCCTCTGCCCTCCTGCCGACAACGACTCCACGAGCACCGGCTCGTACTGGGGACCGAGCCTTTCCTCTCCCAGCCCAAGCCTCCCGCCGTCTCCGCAGCCCCAGATGAACAGATGTCCCGATGCTGTCACGCAGGCCGTGTGAGCCGCACCGCAGCTGATCTAGATTGTCCGCAAGTATGGACAAGACCGCGTGGTGCACATGGCGAATTATCGAAGAGAGAAGGGGAGAGGGAAGAGCCTACGGGAATAACAACGTCCACCATGTAAAAAGATATGTTTGCTGCAAAAGAGGGCGTGTAAAGATATGTTTGCTGTACATGAGGGCGACGCTGTGAGATTCACTTAAGGGCTCAAGGTTTGGAAGGCATCCATTTTCAGTTATCGGTAAGAGGGTGGGGATGCCAGCGCCGACGTCAACCTTGTGGGAAGAGAAACCTCAAACAAGCGGTGTTGCACGCCGCCGTCCGTCCATTTGCAGAGCGGCAGCGCCTTTTGGCCGCTGCCTCGTTGCATGTTTTTCACCTCTTTAACCTTGGTAGGGGAGTCGACCATCACCCTGGTGGGCACGCTGCAGTACACGTCCCTATCCACCATGCCGAGCCCAAGCTGGTGCGGACACACAAGATAGACGCACGCAAGGAACAACAGCAGCTTTAACTGGATAAGCGGTAGCGGGGGGTCGAAAGAGCGTTCGTTAGCGTGTGGAGAGGACCGTGGCTACCTTTCGGACCAGGGTGTCTAGCAAGGGCCTAGAATTAACTCGACTCGCGTTCGATCGATGGACCGATCGATTCGTTGTTTTCGGCCTGCTGTAACGCCGAACAAGACGACGCTATGTAGGGGAACGCGAAAATTACTTCTTGACAATCAAGAACGGTGCCATGTCCGAGCAAGAGTTCCCCACCTCTCCAGAAGAGCGGCCCCGCCTGCGTCAGCCGCACGACGCAATTTCTACCTGCTAAGAACGCCTACGCCACGCGCAGCAGCACGTCATGCCGAGGCAAGAAAGGCGCTACATGTAGGGTTGGTTTCTTCAACGGCGACGGTGAAGACAGCCTCCATGACATGGGGGAGAGAATCTAAGAATCTACCTTTCCTGTGGCAGCGCTCCCCCAGGTGTACACTCTGCCGGATGTGGTGATGGCGCTGCTGTGGTTGTACCCGGCACTGGCCCTCAAGACGGGTCTCCCGGAGAACGCTTGGATGACGGTGGCAGCGGCGGCGTCAGCCTGTCCGAGTGATGTTGTTGTTGTTGTTGTTGTTGTTGGTGTTGTTGTTGTTGCTGTTGTTGTGTTCTTGTTGCTAGTCAAGATGATGTTGGTGTTGTTTTGTTGTGATCCGCTACCTGAGTGTGAAAATTCGCGTCGAGTTGAATAAAAACAGAGGAGCTAAAATGTGCACTGGCACTTGCTAGATTGTCTTAAAAAAACAGCTGTTGCCGGAGGTTCTCGCAAAATACGACGGCATGGTTTGCGTGCTTGCAATTGTTTGTACTCCGAAACTATTGCAAATACTTCGAGTTGTAAGTAGTATGACGGGCAGTGGGCCAGGTAAGGGCTATTTACCGGTAGCGGAGATCAAGAACGTATACCTTGCAAAGGCTTGCTAAGCACAGGCGGTGACCACGCGACCACGCACCTGAGGGTTTCCCCCCTGCGAAAGGTCAAGCCCTAAACGCCCGCTCGCACCGACGCCCCACGTGTAGAGCTGTCCCGACCTGTGCACGAGAAGCACGTGGTTCGCTCCGGCCGATATCGCCACCGCTGCATCGTTTGCCTACCGTGCGTGGTGGGGGTCGGTGTTGGCGGTATGTGGTGATGCCGGCAGCGGCGTTGGTGGTGGCGTCAGTGAGGTCGCTGTCGCGACGGGTGACCATACTGTAGAAATTTACGTCTGTACGGGTATCCGTTCGTAACGTCTGGACAGGTGTGCGAGGCGGTAGCCAAAGCGTTCCAAGAAAAGCCCACGCAGTTTTTTTCACCCTCCAGTAGCATTTGGAACTCTTCTTCGAAGGAACGAAGCACGACCACTGAGCCTCCCCTTCTATTCCCCTTCCCGCCGTCGCTCTGCCACACGGAAGGCCGCAAGCAGTCGGTTTCGAACTACTTTCTGTCCTGCAAAAGAAGATAATGATTCCTCAGCCGTTTTCTCGCCAATTACGCCAAGATCTGAGCCAAACCATGTGATGCATGCCCCAACCAGATATTGCGGCCATTCTAACGGGAGTGGGTACTCTCTTCAGAAGGGATAGAACGGTGCCCTTGCCTTCCCCCTTGTCCTTGTCCCTTTCCCACAAACTCATCTTCGCCCTCGCCCCGAATTGCGTGACTTGCGTCTCCAGTCTCGATCCGCTGCCAGTCCCATGATCCCGTGATACAACGGTACGAAGACGTCCGACAACGGTATGAAGACGTCTTGTTCGATTTGTAGCAATGGATACATACCAACGCTCGCCAGTCTAAATTTGACACCGGCAAGTGCTTGGCCAAATCACCCACCCACTCACCCGTGGGCTGCGCATTTCTGCCGCCCTTTCCGTAATGCCACCCAGATTAACTTGGAGACTGTTCCCGCGAGGGGTGAAGACGGGGCTTGCGTCGTTTCGGGCCTCTGCCATCCGCTCTCGCCATTGACTGTACACGTGTTCCCCCCTAGTGTGTTCGGGTGCGGTGTGCGAGTGTGGTTCTTAGACAAACGTCGACCGCGCCAGCTGGCCAGTCAATGTAGAGGGCGCCCTGTGTCTGTCTGTGTTCTAGATACGTGTGCACAACCACCACCGGTTAGGAACCTTGCATTGATTGGCGGGGCAACGAGCGGGGGGACAGGCTCTCTCGGCCGCCGTGTTGTCAGTGGCGTGATCCACCCAGAGTCCAAGGGCAAGATGTTTCTTGTCCGTGCTGTCGCTGCACGAGAAACCCACTGCACGCAGGTGAATGAACGCGCCCGCAACAAGGCACGCCGCCAATGAGCAGGGTCTAGCCAACGTATCGTTGGTTCTAGGCTTATCGTTCTCGCTTTGCCGGTCTTGGTGGCTTCGGCAAACTTGAACGAGCTCACCTGGCGTATTGAGAACCCAAGCCCGCCTCCTCGTTGGCTTTCTTTATTGCCGCATCCTCGGCCTGTATCTCCCTCAGGGGGGCCCACATCTCCTCGATCTCCAGCCGCAGACTCTTGCCCATGACGTTCTTCCCCTTTTCGTACATCTAGTTCTCCGTCGGGGTCGTTGTCATCGTCGTCGTCGTCGTCGTCGTCGTTGTTGCGAGGGTAACACACAAAGGGCGGCGCAAGAGGGAAACGAAGAAGGCACAGGAAGTGGGTGCAGGTGGTTCCTGAAGAGCGCAGCATGCGTGACTCGAATTTCGTTCCGGCCCCTTGGTGCAACGGACAGAAAAAGGTTGACTGACCGTGCCTAACCCTGAGAGGGAAAAGGGGAAATCGAAGAGTGCGCGTGCTGCGAAGGAAATTAGGTTCATGCAATGACGTAGAAACTGCGCCGACAAGCGGACTCTTCGCCAAAAAACGACCATTTAAACTCTTCCTGCTTTCCTTCCACGGCAAAGCCCCACGTCCCTGCGACGACCGACTGCAACATCGAACTCAGGTACGTGAGCACTCCTGATAGTCTGATCCCCGTTCCCCCCTCCCCCTCCGGGTGTTTTGCCATCGGGGTTGGGTTTTCGTCGCTTGGCAACGACGTTGTAAAACAAGCCAATTCACTTCGTGAACTCGGCAACCAGGTTACCGTTTTTTTTTTTTACCTCCGGTTTTTTTTTTGGCGGTAACCATAATGGTGGCCGAGTAGATCATGTTGTGCGGGGTCGAGAACCCTCGCTCCGCGCAAGGGGGATGATCGCACCACGATGTGT